GCCACTGCTCCCGCCACTGAACTCAGGCATGGCCTAAGCCTATGAAGCCAATCCTGATGTGACAGAGTGTCAATAGTGTCAACGCATCATGCACTTAATCTAGTACTTATCTTGCCCAAGCTCTCAAACAACGAATGAGAATGGCAGGCATACATCAAGCTATCCATGCCGCAAGCATACCAGTAACCTTTCGGGCAAAATGCCTGCAAGGCAGACTTTGCTCAAACAGTGTTGCTCACGAACGATTGCAATGTGAAGCTGCCAGCACGCAAGTGAGAGAGACGCCGGCCTTCGAGTCATAACCGGCCCGCCAGGTGGCCTCGCGCGGCCAACGATCAAATCTCCCTATACGAGTTGACCCTGTCTGCTAAAGCACCATCATATAATACGTGGTTCGTTGGGTCAATCTTGCTCGTCATCAACATCCAGTGCTCAGTACTCTGTTCACAGCCAAGCGCCTGACCGCAGATCATCAAAATCGATGAATGGACCTGGGACGCATGGCAATGCATTTAACAGTCAAAGGAACCACATTTCGACGCACGGCCGAGCTCCTACTCCAACGAGCTCCACACCCAACTCTTGCTCACAACCTCTTCTTTTTGTCGCTCCACTGGTCCGCCGCTTTCCTACGGTCCTCTGCGACCAAAAGAGAAAACACAAAGTCAGCCAGCCACCTTCAACGCATCGATTGTAATTAAGCTTTGGTCAGTATCAGATCAAGAATCAAGACCCGGAAAGGGTGTAGTCTGGCTGCCCTCTCCAATGGCCAAACTGCTAAGACAGGGACTGGCCATCATGGGTCCATACACAATCATGCCAAAATTGTGGCCAGCACCGCAACGGCAATCCCGTCGCTCATCCGATTACAGACACCAGGCCTGGCGAGGTTTCTCCTGAATTCCCCTCGCCGTCACCATCATGCCTTGGGGCCTCACCCTCACCTGCACCAATGCCGTTGTCCTCGGTCTCCGAATGCTCCTCCTCAATGCCGAGAGTGGCATTGCTGACGAAGAATCGTTCATTGCCCGGATCGTCCATCATTCGAGCAACCATGCCCTGGAGCTTCTCCTTCAGAACCTGCATTGGTATTAACTGATACAGTAGACGCCGACCCAGAAAAAACGATCCATGCATCAACTCTCTTTCTTGAGACAAGCAGCCATTGCATGCTCATCACTTCGGCATACCAGGATGGCAAAAATGCGCATGTGAATCGCTTGCAAAGCGAAGTCAAGGCCATTTGGGCTTAAATCAATAAGCCTGCCTGCTGACGCTTGATGAAGAAGTTCACGACATACGCAAGGAGCCCTTGCAAAATGACTCAGAGGCACTTCTTCCGTGGGGTCCAGCTCTGCAGGGAGGGGATTCTTCTCATAAGCATTCGAGGTCTTGGACGGTACACGCAGCACCTGCTTGCAACAGTGGATCCCCCAGTAAGGCCCGCCACTAGTTCAAGCACACGACTTCCACTCAAAAGAAAAAACACACAGCCCCGCCGACTGCTTGAAGGTCATGGGAACCATTTCCAAGTTCTCCGGGTCCAGCAAAGGAATGGGCAGCCATCCCATACTGGAATCTTCCATCCTTATCAAAACCCAGCGGTCACACATACCAACCGAAACCGCTAGAAACGCATGTACGCACACGCCCAGGAATCTGCAGCTGGGAAGCCCTGGCGCTGAGATATACTGCAGTGGCTTGGCTGCTGGCGCGTGGTCCGGATGATGGCAAAACAAGGCCGTCTCCATGCCACATATCTTCGCAAGGCACCCGATGTTGTCGGCAGTGGTGCGTCGGCGCTTGCTGCCGCCTGCCGCAAGGCGATAGTTCGCGCGCTTTTTCAAGTCGTGCTGGCTGGGCAACAGGTGCAGGGTCACCGTCTCATACATTTTCTTCCCTTTGCGCATCTCCGAGTTGGAGGTCGCATTTCCACTGTCGAAACAGAGCAGCACGGCCTGGTTTCCACAGCTACGTATTCAAGCACTACACGGGGCTTCTAACACCAATTCAGCCCTAGGCCTCTGGCTTCCCACCAAGAAGGAGATCAAAGGTCTGTCTGATCACTTGGGCACGGTTCCGGCACATGCCAGGGATTCGTTCAAATATATTATGACTGCGTGTGAAGCATTGAGACGCTTCGGCTTCTTTTGCCCAATCCCAGTGCAGCACCAGCCGGGTGTCATTGGACAAAGGTTTTTGAACTGCTGTGTGCTCCAACAACACCTTGTTGAGTTTCGCTGCATCCTGGTGGTCATGGACCAGAGTTGATATGAACGTCGCAACCTCCGACGATGCGGCTTCTGCAAGCAGTCGCGCTCGCTCACGAACTCGACCACCCACTGCAGCACTGGGTAGCTCTGCCTCGTGGTCGCTTCCATCCACAGGGGCCTCCACTGGGGTAGCCTGAGGCACAGGTGCCTGAGGCTGCAAGAATCTCTTCCACCTTAGAAGCAAAGAGAAACAAAGTTGAATAGCGAGTGAAGCACTACTACGGTCGAGACACACATCCTCAGCTTGCTTCGTCACCTTTGCGATGGAGGCATGTCCCATACGTGTTTCGAAGCTCGCCGTCGCCTGGCCCATGACCACTCCCCAAAGCACCACGTCGTGCTTCCCAATCATGATGTCTTCCATGAGCTGCACACAGACCACGAGGTCACCCGGAAGGCATCCTGCTGGATTTTCTAAAAACATGATTGTCATTGTCATTCCATCAAACTGCATCACAACGAAAAGCCGCCTGAACCCCTGGATGTCCTTTGCAAGTTCGATCCCGCTCAGTGAAGCTCTTGACGCTGAGGCAGTTCTTCTTCGCCGCCTCAAATGCATCCTTGCAGGAATGGCCATCTGGCAGCTGAAAGTCGGAGTGGAGCTTTTCCAACCATTTTCGCAGCGTCAGCAGGAAGTCCACCACATCCTCAAAGGCTCGTATACACTTCCTCACGTTATTCTTGAGACACCTTTGATGTGTGCCACTGCTTTGAAAAGGGAATTTTGCTCTTATGCAACCGCTGCCACGTAACACATTGCACCTGCGACCGATGCGTCTGTGCTGATAACACACCATGGTGCACCCCAGTTATACTAGCTGCACGCATACCCGAAAAAGCCAGTTCCAATATCATCTGACCCTCTGCATCCCTATGCTTATACACATATCCTCAGATATATTTTGATGATACAGTCGTACACACACCACGCATAGAATGATCATACATACATACATACATAC